TAGCTACTTCACTATAAGTAAAATCAGTTAACCAAAAACATTTTATTTTTAAAAAAAATACAGACTTTTTTCAAATCACCATGATTGGTTTAGGAAAACGGGTGTGCATCTTTAAAGTATTTCCCTTTAATGGGAAACTTAGCACTACTGAATCTAAACATTAAAGGTAAAATAAACAGAATCAAGGAAGTCCATTCATACTTCAGGCCCTTCTCCTCCAGGAACCAGCATTATTATATTATTTCCATTTAGCAAAATCTGATCTAATTTAGTAATCCTTCCTTCTGGTGTAATTTCAAACGGTGACATCTTCCAGCACCATGTTGACAAAGTCATCAAATCCTAGAAGTGTGCCGATAATTTATCACTTTTCATTACAATGTGAATTCGTGATCCTATACACTTGTCCACAAGCTCTAGAGGCAGGAGCTGCAAGGGATTAGTGGTAGCGTCAGCTGCCATGGCCATGCCGGAAAATCATTCTTAGTAATTTTTAGTTATTTTTTGTGTGTGGGTGTATTGCCTGCATTGTGAGTTCTCACATGAGTGCAATGTCTTTGGAGGCCAGAAGAGGGCATCAGATCGACTGGAACTCTAGAACAGGTGTTGGCCATCATGTGTGCTGGGAACTAAACTTGGTCCCTTTACAAGAGCAACCATTGCTTTTAGCTGCTGAGCCATCTTTTCTTTACTTAAGAAAAGTTATAAATCAGTTTCTTAAATTAATTATACTTCAGATTTCTTAAAATCTCTGTATCACCGTGAAACAAAGGTAACAGGTTTTGGTTGTTATCAGTAGCAAATAACCTTCTTAGTCCAGATATACTTGAAGTAGAAAATGCCTTTTAAGTGTATCTAGTTCCAGAAATCATGGCTGAGTTGACTTACATTGAGATAATATAGAAGCCTCTTTCTTCTTCTTTTTCTTTTTCTTTTTTTTTTTCCCCGCCGCCCCACCCGCCCCTCCTTTTTCTTTTTTTTTAAATAAAAGAATACCTTATAAAATATTTTATTATTTTTATTTTATTTTTTGTGTATGAGTGTATTCCTACATGCAGGGATGTGCACCCGTGTCGTGCAGTGCCAACGGAGGTCAGAAGAGGGCATCAGATCCCCTGGAACTGGAGTTATGGACGGTTGTTAGCTGCCATGTGGGTCCTGGGAATCCAGCTCAGATCCTCTGCAAGAGCAGTCAGTGCTTTTAACCACTGAGCCATCTCTTTAGACCCAGAAGCCTATTTCTAAAGAGATCTAAAGTCTTGTATTGACTGGTGGGTTCCTGCTAGTAATTCAAGCACTCAGGAGGCTGAGGCAAGAGAGCCACTAGTTTGAAGTCAGCTGGGCTGCATAGGAAGACATTGTCTCAAAAAAACCAAACAAGGTTAGGGCATTGTGGTGCACACCTTTAATCCCAGTTTTTGGGAGGTAGGGATTAAGAGGCAGGTGGATCTTTGTGAGTTTGAAGTCAGCCTCATCTACATAGCCAGTTCCAGGCCAGCCAGGGCTAGCTACTTAGACTCTGCCTTTAAAAACATTTTTTTGTCTGGAAGGATAAGAGCCCAGAGGCTACCTCTCTGACACCCCCTACCCCCATGTTTGTTTTGAGACTGGGTACAGGGTATCATGTAGCCTTAGACAGATCTTGAACTTTATGTATCCAAGGACAGAACTGCTAATCTTGCTGCACATATCTTTGAGGTGCTAGGATCATAGGCATGCATCACTATGCTCAGCCTTTTGTTTTGTTTGGGTTAGGGTCCTGTAGTGTAGCCCTGGTTAGCCTTGAACTATTGATTTTCCCGCTGTAAACTCTAGAGTGCTAGAATCACAGGGGTGAACCACTGTGCCTGTGTGTGTGGTACTTTTTAAACTCTGTGCATGTGTTTTCTAGGGTTTGAACCCAGGGCACTGTGCATGCTAGGCAAGCACTCTGCCACTGAGTTATACTCTTCAACCCTTGGTTGTGGCCTTCTAGCTGTAGGGGCTAACTGGCAAAGCAGGATTAGATTAGGAAAACTTGACTGTTATTTTCATCAGTGGGGTGTAGTTCTCTTGTATTGTTTGAAGGATGACTCAAGATGGTTGTATGAATTGGGAGGGCTTGTGTGCAAATGAAATATTGTTGCCTGTGAGACCAGTTTCAAAAGGTGGGATTAAAATTACTCTTGCCTTTCTCTTGGTAATCCAGCCAATGAAGGGCGTATTGAGAGAAATGATTATTTTTTGTTGTTCTTTTTTTCTTTTCTTTTTTTGAGACAGGGTCTCCCTGTGGCCTCAGCTGGTCTGGAACTTGCTTTGTAGACCAGGCTGGCCTTGAACTCACAGAGATATGCTTGCCTCTGCCTCCCAAGTGCTGGGACTATAAAGGCGTGTGTCACCATGCTGGGCCCAGTACTGCAAACTGATTAAATATCATTAATGTGTTAAAAATTAATAATTTTGGCTGGGCGTGGTAGTGCCAGGTCTACACAGTGAGTTCCAGGCCAGCTGGGGCTACAGGGAGACCTTGTCTCAAAAAGAAAAAAAAAAAAAAAATTGTTTGGGGCTGGAGAGATGGCTCAGCGGTTGGGAACACTGGTTGTTCTTGCAGAGGACCCAGGTTTGAATCCCAGCACCCACACGGCAGCTAATAACTGTCCTTAACTCCAGTCCCAGGGGATCTGACAGCCTCTTCTGACCTCGGCAGGCATTGCATGACACGGGTGCACTTACCTACATGGAGGCAATACATAAAATAAAAACACATAAAATAAAAACAATAAAAAAATTATTTTTTTTAAAAGTAATTTACAGATGTTTTAAGGCCAAGGTATATGGAGACAGCTATTCAGAAGTCTGGGCAGGAGGATAGCCTGAGTCTCCAGAAGTTAAAGTAAAATTATCTAAATTTTCTCCTTCCCTCCCCTCCAATAGTGTCATATGGAGCTCAGGCTGGCCTCAAACTTGCCAAGTAGCTGAGGATGACCTTGAACTTGTGATCCTTATTCCTCCACCCCAGTGTTGGGATTATAGGATTTGGATTACAGGAATGTGCTGCCCCATAGGAAATCAATTTTCTGTGCAAAATATTTTGCCTGTTTAATTAAAAAGTGAGTTGAGCCAGGCATGGTGGTGTATGCCTGTAATCTCAGCACTGGGGAGGGAGAGGCAGATCACTGTGAATTCAAGGCCAACCTGGTCTACATAGTGAGTTCCAAGCCAGCTGGGGCTACAGGGAGACCTTGTCTCAAAAAGACCAAAAAAAAAAATAAAATAAAATAAAAAAAGTTCAAGGCCAACCTGGGATACATGGAGGGTCTCCCCCCAAGGCAGCACATAAAATAGCTACCAGGCTGGCAAAAATGGCTGAATGGGTGAAGGTGCTTACCAGCAAGCGTGGTAGTCTAAGTTTGAGCCTGAGAACCCACATGGTAGGAGAGAATGAACTCTTAGAAAGTCTTTATAACCTGGTGGCTTGGAACTTGCTATGTAGCCAAGCTGGCTTATAACTCCCAGTCCTTCTGCCTGTGTCTCCTGAATGTTGGGATTATAGTCATGTGCCACCAAGTTCAACTTCAGTTTTTTTAAATCACTTTGATTTTATTTTAGGTTTAATAATCTTTTTTACAATATAAAAATTAGTGAAAACTTTCGAAAGATTCATTTAAGCTAACTGTTGTCAAAAGGCTATGGGTAGTTTCAGTAAATACTACATTTAAGAAATGAGGGTAGCTGGGTGTGGTGGTGCATGCCCTTAGTCCCAGCAACAGCAGAGGCAGGCAGATCTCTGTGAGATCAAGGCTGGGGTGTTGTACATAGTGAGTGCCAGACTAGCTGGGCTATAGGGAGACCCTATCTCAAAAAGATACCCCCCCCCCATGAAAACAATGAGCAAATATTTGTTCCCGAGAATAAACATGTAAATGTAATGCGCCTTTTTTAAAAATTTATTTTTATTTTATATGTATGCATGTATTGCCTTGCATGTAGGTAAGTGTACTCATGTCGTGCAGTGCCCTCAGAGGACAGAAGAGGCTGTTGGATTCCCTGGAACTGAAGTTAGGGACAGTTGTTAGCTGCCATGTGGGTGCTGGGATTTGAACCCAGGTCTTTTGCAAGAACAATCAGTATTCTTAACCGCTGAGCCATCTCTCCAGCCTGTCTTATTTTAAAATTCAGTTTTGTGTGCATTTTATTATTTGTTTATTTTTGTGTGTATGAGTATATTGCCTACATGTGTATGTGAGTTGCACCCATGTCGTTCAGTGCCCGAGGAGGTCAGAAGAGGGCATCAGATTCCCTGAAACAGGAATTACAGACTGTTGTTAGCTATCATGTGGGTGCTGGGAATTGAACCCGGGTCCTCTACAAGAGCAGTCAGTGCTCTTAACCACTGAGCCATCTCTCCAGCCCCTTGTGTGCATTTTAAATGAGAGTTACTTAAGATATTTTAGGGGTTGGGGAGATGGCACAGTTGTTAAAGTGCTTGTTCAAGTGTGAAGACCTGTGTTTGACACTCAGCACAAAAGTTTGGCATATGCTGGTAGTCCCATCACTGGGGAGGCGGCACATGGGGGTTCCTGGTGCTTGAGGGCCCGCCCATCTAGCAAAACAGGTTCAGCCAGAGACCTTGTTTCAAAAAATAAGGTGGAGGTACAGGAAGACACTGGTCTGACATTATCCCTATATAGTGTGCATATATAGACATATGCCCCTGCCCACCAACAAAAATCCACTTTGCAGCCCATTTCCCATACATAATATAAACTGTCTAAAAAATAACATTTTGGAAAGTTATTGATATACATCAATAACATTGACTTTATCTTTTTGCAGATATGGCCGCGTGGAAAGCGTCAAGATTCTCCCCAAGCGAGGATCTGAAGGAGGAGTGGCTGCCTTTGTGGATTTTGTGGACATCAAAAGTGCACAGAAAGCTCACAACTCAGTCAACAAAATGGGAGATAGAGACCTACGCACGGATTATAATGAACCAGGCACCATTCCGAGTGCTGCTCGGGGATTGGATGATACAGTTTCCATAGCATCTCGTAGTAGAGAGGTTTCTGGGTTCAGAGGAGGTGGTGGAGGGCCTGCTTATGGCCCCCCACCATCACTTCATGCACGAGAAGGACGTTATGAGCGGAGACTTGATGGGTAAGTTCCAAGGTTTCTGTAGGCAGGTATTTTGTATTTGATGTGGTGAGAAACAGAAACTCGTATTTAGGGGCCCCAGATGGATTTAAAGTTTTGGGCATTCTCAATGTTTCCTATTTTGGGTTGGAAACGGAAGTGATTTCTGTCCCAGTGGCTGGTGTCTTGCGGAATCATAGAGGATACTCCCTGCAGCAGATTGGATATCTACTCCTGAGATCACATGGTGGAAGATTTTCTGTAGCAGCATCAGTTTTGGAGTTACCTGTCTTCTAGAGTTAAGTATACCTCCCTCGTGGATAATATCAAGGCCTTCCTTGGATGTATCCCTTCTACCAGATGGAGCTATTTGGCTACAGGTTTTGTCTTCGGGCTGTTTGGAATATTTCTGGAATATTCAAGCCTACAGATTCTTTTAGAAGTTGTTCACGCCTCCCGGTTTCACTATGTAAAGTCTACAAACAAGTTGGATTGTCACAAAGTATCTAGCAGACCATAATGATTCTATCAGTTGGATTCTACAAACAATACTCTACCATGGAAATATGTACTTGGATAAGGAAAAGCAAAGGCAATGCTTGATTTTTCCATTTTGGATCTACACAATTTCTGTGTTGGAATTATACTTCTTGATGGAATGGGGAAAATCGAGATCTTGGACATTCATAAATGCTGGAATATAGCTGTTTTCTAAATGCTGGAATGGATGGGATGTTATGCTCTCAAGACTCCATTAGCCGAGGGAAGAGGATTACTATCTCATTTCTTAAACAGGTTGCTGTCCTGTTAAAGGTACTTTAGCTTTGAACACATGGTGATCAGTTGTGGATACAGCTGTCAGAACTGACCGGACTGGATGGCTACAATGAACAGTTGGCGGGCAGCTGTGTATTCCTCGTTTACTGGAATTGCCGAGATTTTTTTCTTCTTGCCAGCTGCCTGATTCGTATTTAGGGCTGGAGAATTTTGTGAATGTGGATCAATTTATAATTGTCTTCTATCTCAAGAAAGAAGTCTGGGGGTTTGAGAGTTACAGTTTGTCTGGGACTACTTGCTTCCAGTGGAATTATTTTGTCTGGTCACTAAGATTTTTTTCCTTGTGGTTCATCTAAATATCATTTGACACCCTTGCCCATTAAGAAGGTGGATTACCCCTGTAAGAGGGGCCAAAATTGGGGAAGTTATGTTCACAATTCTCTCCCTAGATTTAATTGGGATTATAGGTCGTGTTTCCACAGTTGGAAAAGGTTGGTATGTCCTGACCTGTGTATATTAGCCCCTCTTCTAACCCAAGTCACACTCTTTTCTCCCCCCGAACTAACTCTAGAAGTATTTAGTACTAATAGATAAATCAAAGACTAGCGATTAGATTTCAGCTCTGTTAGCTCTTAGGCCTGCCTCTGTATCTTCTTAATGGATAAGAACTTTGCATATATTATAAAACATCAGCTGTAGCAGTAATTGTCCTAGAACTTTGACCTATTGCTTCTGTTACCTCATTAATAATGGCTTTCACTGATTAACATTTGATAGGGTGCTAAAATGAACTATATGAAGTTTTCTTCTAAGTCTCAAAGGAAACCTTGTTAGACATTGAAATATACAGTTTTCAGAATTGTACCAAATGGAAAGGAAAATAATATCATTTAATACACTTAAGAAGGGAAGGTAGTCCGATTTTTTTTTATTTTGCCAGCTTCATGGATGTTTTCCACAATGGCGGCAAAATAGCCTGTGAGGGGCTGGGGAGATGGCTTAGTTGGTAAAGTGCTTTGCATATAAGTATGGAGACCTGAGTTCAGATCCCTAGCTTCTACCTAAAAGCCTGGCACAGTGGTGTGTCCCTGTGATCCTGCCCCAGGGTAGGGTGGGAGGTGTAGGGTGGGGGTGGTTAGAGAGAGGTGGATCCCTAGAAGTTTATTGGTCAGCCAGTCTAGCTGATGAGCTCCAGGTTCAGGAGAGCCTCTGCCTCCAAAAGTAAGGCAGAAATAGAGGAAAACACCTAGCTTTGACCTCTGTCCTCCACATGCTCCTGAACATAGTTGTAGCACCTGTGTGTGCACACAGACATGAACATACACTGTACATGCACAAGTAGCCTAGGAAAGTAGGGCTGCTACTAGGTGAAATAGTGAAAGCGACTATTAACAGAGCAGTTTGGAACCTAAGAATGTGTTGGGAAAATAGTGTCACAGAATTTTGCACTATATCTTTATTGGAGAGATTGTAATTCTTTATCATTCCTGACTTCTTAATTATTTTTGATAGAAGATTGATTGAGGATGAGGGTGAAGAGAACCTCAATTGAATGATCTTTATTCTACAAAAGTAGAGAACTTAGAATTTCATGCAAAACTCAAATTCATTTTTAAATAACACATAATTCCGTGTGGTAGATCCTAGTACTACAAAAAGAAAAAAGAAAGAAAAAAAAAAGACAAAAAAAAGACATAGTTAAGTCATTGCTAATAGCACCTCTGTCTGCGGTGGCATCATTGTCACTTGGATCCCAGGCAGCTTGATGGTAATTAGAGTTAAGGGAACATATTTCCTCTAATCAAGTACATATATTAAGAAAACGAATCAGGGAATGGATATTTTAAAAATTATGTGGAGTTTGATAGCAAAGGAGATAAAAACAACTTTCATTCTTAGGTAAATTTATGTAGAATAGTCCATGAAAAGCCAGTATAAAAACATCTTAACTGCTGTTAGGATTTCATTTTTTGACCAGGCATGGTAGCTGAATGCCTTTAGTCCCAGCACTCAGGGAGGTAGAGGCAGACAAATATCTGTGACTTCCAGGCCATCCTGGCCTACATAGGGAGTTCCAGGTCAGCCAGGGCTACATAGTGAGACCTTGTCTCAAAAACAAAACAAAGTCCAGTTTTTATTATTTAAATATAATTGCTTGGGCAGTTTATATAGCCTTGTAATTATTTAGAGTACCCAAGCGGCAGAAGTTAATGAGGGGTCTGATGTGGCAGGACAGCCCTGTAATCCCAGCTATGGGAATGCTGAAGCAGCAATACAGCAAGTGTAAGGGTAACCTGGGCTGCACAGCAAGACCCGGTCTCCAAGGGAAAAAAGTTAATGAGTGAGAAAAACTGGCATTTAAGGTTTTTTCTGAACTTCTTTACCAGTCCTCCTTGTTACAGCCCTGCAGTAAAAGCAGGGTCTTCAGTGTCTTAAGTGTAATGTGCAACAACTTTCACATTAAAATGATGGACGAGGTGAACATGGTGATGCATGCCTGTAATCCTGGTACTTGGGATGGAGACAGGAGATCAGAATTTAGGTCACCTCAGCTAGATGCATAGGTACATAGGTAGTTGGAGGACAGCCTGGGGTACATGAGACCCTGTCTCCAGAAACCAGAAAAAAGTTGACACACACACACACATCCCTTTAGTAGAAGTCAGAAAATCCATATCATCTGACCTGCAGAACACTCCTCAGGAAAGCCCAATATATGAGTAAAAAGCAATGGTGTTCATTAGCGAAAACAACTTTTAGAGTCAGGTAAAAATGTTTAGCTTATTAGTGTTTCTTTACTAAGTTTAAGGCTGTTTAGAAAATGATCAAATGCAATGACAAAGATAATTTGAAGTGAATGTTTGCATGACTTGCTTTTAGTTCTGCTTGCTCCTTTCTGATGAAATATTTTTCCCCCCTCCTAAATGCAGGGCTTCAGATAACAGGGAGCGTGCTTATGAACATAGTGCCTATGGACACCATGAACGGGGGACAGGAGCATTTGATCGGACACGACATTACGATCAGGATTACTATAGAGATCCTCGAGAGCGAACTTTACAACACGGGCTCTATTATACTTCTCGGAGTCGAAGTCCAAACCGCTTTGATGCTCATGACCCCCGATACGAACCTAGGGCTCGGGAGCAGTTTACACTGCCCAGTGTGGTACACAGGGATATCTACAGGGACGATATTACCCGGGAGGTACGAGGCAGAAGGCCAGAGCGGAATTACCAGCACAGCAGGAGTCGCTCACCACATTCATCCCAGTCTAGAAATCAGTCTCCTCAGAGATTGGCTAGCCAAGCGTCTAGACCTACCAGGTCCCCTAGCGGCAGCGGCTCTAGGAGTCGATCTTCCAGTAGTGATTCACTCAGCAGCAGCAGTAGTACCAGCAGTGACAGGTAGGTTTACAGCCTTTCATTATATCAAACAAGCTGGTAAATGTATTCTCATATTCTCAATGATTGCTGGTGATGGCTTTTGGCTTACTACTTTATTTTTAAAGAAGGTAATAATTGGGTTATATATGTAATAAGTAAAAAGAACTTTCACATGTGGCTGTCAAACCAACCAGAATCAAAGTGATTATTTGCCAATGCTGGTTTATCCCCTAGATGCTTAATACTAAATTTAAATTGCCAAAAAGGAAGAGAAATGGTCATGTTAAACTGTGAGGCAAATCTTGTGACAGTGAAAATGTGGATCTCTGAAGTTTTGTTTTTTTAAAGTGTATAGTATCGGCATATTGTGGCTGAACATTTCTAAAAGCTGTTAGGTTAAATGTGTGTTGGTGAAATACATTGCTTATTATCAATGACTAGCTTCTAAACACATTTTAGCATCAAAATGTGGTTAACCAAATTTATAACTGTAAATGGAAAAGCTTTCTTTCATTGCAGGTCATGCATGACATTTTTTCCAAGGTGAGATAACTTGTTAGTTGGGATTTTTTTTTTTTAATTCAGAAATTTTAAAGATGAATAATAATGGATTCAAGTTATTTTGTTTAACAAGGAGACTTAGAAGTTAGACCATATGGCTAGATAACTTCAGTGTTCTGGGTCTCAGTCTTCTCATCTTTTATAGGAACCTTACTTTAGAGTCAGCTGTGGTGGCAGATGTCTGTAATTTGAGTGCTCAGGGTGCTAAGGCAGGAGGACAGCCAAGAGTTCAAGGCCAGCTAGGCTGCAGAGGACGAATACCCTCATCTCCCCAAAGAGCTAAACAAACGATTCCTAGAAAACAAATAACTTTTATTTATTGTGACTATTAAAGTGAAATTGGCATGTAACATGCTTACAGTTATAGGCAAAACATACCAAATACTCCTGTTAATAATTGGTAGTTATTACTTCATTTCAGATGCTGGTAGTCTTTGGGCATTCCCTCTTTCTCATGATTATCGTTCAGAGTGTTAATCCCAGGTGTCCTAGTTTTAAATTTACATGATATATATTACTTATATATATTACATATTATGAATTTTTATATATTGTATATATTATAAACTTATTGCACACAACTTCTTTAACCTAATTTTTTTTTTTTTTTTTTTGTTTTTTTTTGAATTTTAGCTGCTGCTGAAAATCAGAATCTGGAAGAGCTGCTGGACAAGGGTGAGGGAGGGGACAGTACCAGCTCTTCCTGGAGCTGGGCGGAATGTCAGGATCCAGACAGCCAGAGAGCAGGGGCTGAGATTTGGTCTTTTTGAGACAGGGTCTCCCTGTAGCCCCAGCTGGCCTGGAACTTACTGTGTAGACTAGGCTGGCCTTGAACTCACAGAGATCTGCCTGCCTCTGCCTCCCAAGTGCTGGGACTACAGGCATGCAGCACCACGCCTGGCTTTTCTTTAACCTAATTAAAAGGCTCAGCTTATTTTCCCTTCAGTGTTGTGTGCTTATTTTAAGAGAAGCAGATGAAGGGGTAGAGAGATGGTTCAGCTGTTGAGAACACTAGCTGTGTTGCTCTTGCAGGGGACCTGGGTTTGGTTCCCAGCACCCACATGCTTAACAGCTGTTTGTAACTCCAGTTCCAGGAATCTGATGCCTTCTGGCCTCCAAGGGCACTACACAACACTTACATACATGCAGGTACACTTACATGCATGTAGACTAAACAACTAATACACTTAAGATTAAAAAATTGAAAGAGCAGCAAATGATAGGCTGCATGCATTTGGGAAACCGTTACACATCAAGATGAAAACAACTACTTAGTTTAGAAAGTCAGAGAAGGTAGGTTGCTATATTATCTAGATACATGATTGAAGAAATGGATTTGACTCCTATAAACTGATTATAAAATCTTAATGTATTTCACTTTCTCTTGCCTAGAATTGCTTAAAAGATCCCACCTTTTGTCATTTCCTTCAAATTTGCCCATTAAAAGCATTCCACACCACTGCATTGGATCAAAAGCTACTGAGAGGCAGTATATGTTGGTGATGTTGATGTCAGAGGAGAATCGATAATGCAAGTCCTTCAGGATAGTTTTATACTGTAGGCTGAGGTTACAATAGTTTGGGGTCTGGCCCTCAGAATTGTAGACTCAAAAGCTTAAACCCAGGGGCTGGAGAGATGGCTCAGCGGGCAGCTAACAACTATCCATAACTCCAGTCCCAGGGGATCCAACAGCCTCTTCTGGCCTCCACGGGCATTGCATGACACGGGTGCACTTACCTACATTCAGGCAATACACGCATACACATAAAATAAAAATAATAAAAATTAAAAAAAAATTTAAAAAATTTGGAATTTTACCTAAAAGGCCAAATTTGGGGTCCTTATGTTTCTTCCCTCTGATTTGTACTTTTGAACCATATCTGACTAGGAGATAGGGACATTAGAACCTGTTGGCTTGCTGCTTGATGACAACTTCATGTGGGCTTGGGGAAGATCTTCCTCTGTCCCCTGCCCTTTTAAAAAACCTATTTTTATTATATGTGTACGAGTATATTGCTTGCATGTGTGTAAGTGCAGTGCTCACAGAGGTCAGAAGAGAGGGTATTGGATCTCCTAGAACTGGAGTTACATACTGGCAGTGGTTAACTGCCATGTGGGTGCTGAGAACCCAGCCTGGATCCTCTGCAGGAGCAGCCAGTGCTCTTAACCACCGAGCCATCTCTTCAGGCCCTTCTTTTCTTGTTTTTTTGAGATAGGGCCTCCCGTATCCCAGAATCCCCTCTGGCCTTGAACCCCTTATGTAGTGGAGGATGACCTTGAACCTCTGACCTTTCTGTTTCTACCTCCCAAGTTTTAAGATAACAAGTGTGTGCCACTGTGCCCAGTTTTATGGGATGCTGGGGGTTAAACCCAGGGCTCTGTGTGTCCTAAGCAAACACTCTGCTAGCCAAACTATTATCTTCCTTCCTTTTCTGCCTGTTAAAGTGTTTGCCCCCCCCCTTATATATAATACATCTAACCTAGGTTATTGGTTTCCTTTCATTGGTAGTAATTTTTTTTCTCAGCGGAGTGAAACATAGGTTTATTAAGGAAAACTGGAGAAGATTCGCTTGATGGGATGGGTTCCGAAGGAGGAATATTTCCTGCAGTCCTATTTTCTGGAGCTGACATAGTCCAGCCTTATATTCATTGCTTTTACTTGATTAGCTGAACCTGTGTATTAGCCAATTGATTTTCTCCTAATTTTATTGATGGATGTGACAGCTACTATTTAATGACTACTTTTGTATCTATGCATAGGACAGTGGGAGAACAGAAAGAAAATTATTTGTAAGAGGTAGCATTGTTTGGGCTATGAAGGAAGGATATGTAGAACTTAGAAAAAAACGTTTTATGTTTTGTGGGCAGAGGAACAAGTTGAAGAGATAAAAGTAGGTAGAAAAATATTTTGAGACCAGTAGATATTTTAAAATGGTTTACACATCCCAGTGACTCAGGATTTTATTTATTCTCTATACAGTGATAAGCACGTAAAGGAGATAGAACGGAGATAGTTTGTAGGTCTGTACTATAGAAAGGCAGCTGGTGGTGTCTTGGGATGTGGCTCAGTGTTAGAGTGCTTGTCTAACATGCATAAGGTTCTGCAACACCCCCTGCCCCCTCTTCAAACCCATAAACCATCACCATCCTGCCCTCCCAAGGAACCAGCCAGCCAACCAGCCAGCCAAATTAACCCCGGCAGAACCATAGAAAGGCAACTATGGACATAAAATTGAAATTGATCATGATTAGGAGGCTATTTTAGTACCTTGGAAAAGGAAATCTTGGGTTGTGAGATTTCCGAGTACCTGTTGGGACAGATGGGAGACACATTGTATGAAGAGTCAGGTTATACTGACTTAGAAAAGCAGAATAAAGTTTTTTTGGTTTTTTTGAGACAGGGTCTCCCTGTAGCCGCAGCTGTCCTGGAACTCACTATGTAGACCAGGCTGGCCTTGAACTCACAGAGATCCGCCTGCCTCTGCCTCCCAAGTGCTGGGATTAAAAAAGAAGGTGTGCACCACCGCACCCGGCTCAGAATAAAATTTTAGTGATTGACAGTGGTGCACTTTCCAGGCTATTCAGGAAGAACAGGATCAGGTGGTCTTTTCTTTGCCTTTGTCAGAGTACGTATCTAGAATCAGTGAATGTAGTTCTTAGTTCCCATGAAGGATAAAGCAGAACCATGTAGAGAGTGGAAAATTTGGTCATTTATTTGTGATTGAAATTATGGGCACTGAAGTAAAGTACCTTGGTAGTGTTGCTCTTAGCCCTGTGCTCCCCCTCCTTTTTTTTTTTTTTTAAATCAGGTATCTTCTTTTCCTTCAATTAAACCACATAAAAAAAAGTTGGAGCCAGGCATAGAGGTGCACGCCTTTAATCCCAGCACTTGGGAGGCAGAGGCAGGTGGATCTCTGTGAGTTCAAGGCCAGCCTGGTCTACATAGTGAGTTCCAGGACAGCTGGGGCTATAGGAAGACCCTGTTTCAAAAAGACTTTTTTTAAATCAGGTATCTTCTTTTCCTTCAATTAAACCACATAAAAAAAAGTTGGAGCCAGGCATAGAGGTGCACGCCTTTAATCCCAGCACTTGGGAGGCAGAGGCAGGTGGATCTTTGTGAGTTCAAGGCCAGCTTGGTCTACATAGTGAGTTCCAGGACAACTGGGGCTATAGGAAGACCCTGTTTAAAAAAAAAAAAAAAAAAAAAAAAGTGGTCATGACAGACAGAAGGAAGCAGCAGCAGCACAGGGCAGCACTGGGGCCATTTATACAATGAAGCCCCATTTCTCACCAGCTAAGTGCTGTGAAGAGTTGTGTAGAAACAGTAGGTGTATCATTCATAGACTTCACAACCAGACTGTCATTAGTCCCATGTTTACTCATTTGAAATGCATTGCTAGGAATCTTACTAAAGCTGTAACAATTAAGGGGGATTTTTGAGGGTTGTTAGTTTCCAGTCA